CTAGGCCGTCGACGAAGCCCCGAGCGACCGCGCTGACGCAGGTGTCGTGGTACCGCGCGCTTATGTTACTACTGAACTTAATAATGTTTCATTTTAATAAACGACCACACGACTCTGTTTAGATTATGTTATTTAACTGAATTGATATGCTTATAATTAAAATAGCATAGCTACAATGATTAATTATGTCAATTTTTTGAATAGGTAAATACTAATAATAACTCAACCAAAAACCAATACTTCGGTAGTTAGTAGTACTAGTACTAGGTGTTAGGTTGGTAGTTACTTAGGTATTTATCATTTACAAGTATTCATCGGAATAAATGCCCGTCTCTAGATACCTAAGTATTAACAAAGAGTCTACCTTATTTACAGAAGATGCTGGAACTTGGAAGTATCTCCACTTTGTTCGATGCACAAGTTTGTACGACGCGACGTATTACGTTGATTTCACTCGCAATAATGTGTCTGTCACTTTTAATAATATCAAACGCGTTTATTATGCTTATTTTTAATTCGTCCACGTTTCTAATCTCACTACCACTGACGAGCTGCAGATACATTTTCGCCACTTCTAATGTACCACATTAACATGTCTAAGTACTTGCGGTTACTGTGCGTAAACGGCATTATTGAATATTGAACAACAAACAATAAAAAATGGCGCGTGCGATTGATCGGACACAACACTGAACGACACTGAGGGCCACACCCTTCCCGCGCGACAGCTATCGGTCAACTGGCGATCGAGAGAGAGACAAGTGGGAAAGAGAGCGGGGCAACTAGCGAACGGGAGAGAGGGAGAAAGAGAGAGAGATTGCGAAAACATGGGGACAGTGACGGCGCGCCATGGCTTCGCTCGGGCCCCAAGCGCAGCCCCACGTACGGTTTGCACAAAAACGTTTAACCAACTCCTTTATTTTTGTTAAAAATAAAAGTCGTTAAAATTGTTAATTTTTTTTTGCTAAACGTGTCAGTTTATTGATTCCCACCAACCTCATGAAATATTTAAAGTTAATAAATTAACACCTTATATAGGAAATAAATAACAAAGTTTTGTACTCACGTGTTTTTTCTTTTTCTGTCTGCGTCCAGTCGTCAACGTTTTCAAATAACTGCTTCATTATTTCCACCCAACAACTTTGTTTGACATCCCTGTCTTTATACAATGGATATCGTAAGTCCCAAAGTGCACGCCTTTTCTGAACTTCTCTTATTAAATGTTCTGTATCGATTGCCGCCATGATTGTACGCAAAGCGCTCACGCGCACGTCCGACAGTGAAAGCATACATAGCAGCACAGGCCCGCGCGCCGACCGGCAGACGCGGGGCGCGCGGGCGCCAGTCAAGCTTTTGCGCCGGTCGGGCGTTTCGAAACACGCGACCGGCCGGACGCGCTACTGTGAAACCCACCATAGGTTTCAAACAAATTGCGCCGGTCGCGTCTGCACGCGACCGGCGACACGCTGCAGAATGAAAGGAGCCTTAGACACTCGCTTACACGGCGTAATGTATATTCAATTCGAAACAGGCGTCGTACAGTAACGTAGGAATCATTGTTTTTGTAAAAGTGTTTAACACAAAAAGCACGCTGTTGTCCCGTGAAGCGCTCCATCGTGACTAAAATTGCATGTAGCGACGCATAGTTTCCCGCCACCCGCGCACCCCTCCTTCCAACGGTATTCGAGAAATTTAGTGTTGCTATTTGCAAAAATTATTGGCCCACCCTGTATATTACCAACTCACTAAAATCAAAAGCTCACGTATTTTTCTCTAAACTAGTTCAGTAGATTTTTTAAAGTAGTTGTTCGTCACACTGGACACCTTCGAATTAAGGGTTAAACATGTGAAGAAAAAAATAGGTAAGTTTTATGAGGATAATAACTTAACAATGTTAAAGGGCTGTATTAGTAAGAATATAGGATAACTACATAATAAAATTTTATTACAATTTTGTGTTTATTTATGACCAAAACTTGATGGTTCCTTATAGCAAAATTATTGTATTGTGGTTTGGTTCCTTGTTGATTTTTTTTAGGAAAAATAAATGTTAAATCAATGCTTAATCCATAAGTTTTATTGCAACTTGAACATACAAACAACTTATACTACTTTTACACACAGAAATGGTTAATAACTACACAATAGGGATGATGACAGGGTATAAAAATTAAAAATCTATAGTCCGTCAGTTAGGTAATGAAAAAATATCAGACACGTTTTTTTTTATTTTATTTTGTTGTATAATATAATGATACTTAGATATAACGAATCAAAGTTTAGGAGTGAGGACTAAAACGTCATTTCTACGTATAAAATGTACATAGAAGTGACGTCACGCGATTATCAAATCGATATAATTCGTCCAAAGGACTCGTTTCTGTAAAAAAATAAAAAATATGTGTGTTATGTTTTAAAAGAATCTACCAGACGGCCATTAAAATGAAAATTAGTTACCTACCCTATATATCAGTCAAAAATTACAAACTATTATCCATCATCTTGTGTATAAAGTTACATAAGCAGCATCTTCAACTTCTACTACAAAATCAACAGTGCCAGAAAATCTATCTATGGCGTCTTGTGTAGCATCATCTGGTATAAGATGCAGCAAACTCTTTAGGTCATAAAGTTTTGCTTCGGGAATAGGTTTTCCATTAGGCCAAAGCTGATCCATTACTTGTTTAGTGAATAACCCCGTATTCCCTCATAAACTTTTTTAAATATTTCCTTCTATATGGTCATCTTCTAGGTTTGATCGCATAAAAATAGAAAACACATCTTTTTTGAGCATTATCTCTTTTGTATTAAGCCAAGACACTTTAGAGCCATCAGTAGCTTTGTTCCTGTCTGTTATTTTCTTTTCTAGGTTAGCACTTGACAAAAAATCTTCCGTTTTCATTCTCTGAACTTGCATCGGTTTATTCGTCTTGCATACCTGCATTATTTTCATCTAGTCTCTGGCGTATATAATCTTTGTTGTAATTTTAAAGCACATTTTATTGAATAAAATTTTTTTGGCCGAATAGAATCTATTCGGCCAAAATCAGTATCGTTCGGCAGGAAACTGTGCCCAGATTCTAAAAAGCGTAGCTTGATTGTTTTGGGTGTCGGGTGATCGTTTAATAAAGCTTTTAGCATTAACGTTAGTTTAATGTTTCGGTTTTGACCTCCACAAGAGACTCCAAAGTATTAAGTTTTTCACGCCGCTATCGCCAAGCCTACCCATAATATTATGCTTATATAAACTCCTGTTTATGGTCCTCCCTACTTCTTGAGATCCCCTTCCCGCTTCACCTTCCGCCCAAACATTACAATGGGCTTGGTCATCGTTTCCTTAATGGATTCCTAAATTGTACACCCATAGTTGCCTTTTGTAGAATACAATATTAGTTGGTATACGTGGAAGGGGTAGGGTTTTTTGCAGGTCAAATGTTATTGTTTCGGTTAACCGACTCATTGCCACCATCATTTTCATGCATACTTTAGCCAGGCCCCGAACATTGGACGATGACGCGCCAGGCGCGTCATGGGCCTACATACATGATGACGCACCTAGAGCGTCATTGGCACCCTATGATGTTTTATGCGTATTTCGTCGTTATCGTGCGTCGATCTGCTAAGAGAAAAAGTTCTATGTTTGTTTCAATTCTTATTCGTTGGTTTTCAAAGGAAATATGGCCTCCCAAGGTAAGATTTATTTATTTTAGTAAAATGTTACGGGGGTCGTCAACATTTGTGTAAATTTATTTGTATTAGGTCAATTGTTTGTAATAATAAACGTATTATTTGTAGATAATCAGCAAGACGAAATTTTTCCTGAATGTAGTGAGGCGTTATTCACTAATATTGAGCATGAACATTACCAAGAAGATAACGATAAAGAAAATGATGTTTTTCCTGAATGTAGTCAATCGATTTTGCGTATTTCAAAGAAGCGTAAATTCATGGGACCATGTACCATGACCAATAGTCAATATACAAATTATAATTCAGACACTAGCATTGAAGAAATTATGGATTCTGAAGAAGACGAATGTAAGAAAAAGTTTGAAGTAAGAACATCTAAGGATATACCTAAGAAGTCGCCCATTAAAAATAAGTCGGACCCCGATTGTTGTGCAGCAAAAAAATATTTTAATGCATTGTTCTCAAAAGATTTAAAAACTGTGCTGAATACACAAGACAAACTACCTCCAATTTATGCTCAGTTTAAACATGACTTGGGTATAATGCTAGCATTTAGATTAAGAAATGTACCAGCAAGTAAACGTTTAGAGTGTTATGAAAAATTAATTAATGTGGTGAGACAATATGAAGACAAATAAAACACATTGATTGACATAATAAAAACATTTACTGATTTAAATGATTACAGGCTGATTTTGATTAGTTTTATATAAATGTTTGTTACAATTAAAATTAAAATCACATACAAATGTCTAATAGTTATGGTGAGCTCTAAAGCAATTTTCCAAACACAGTCCAGGAAAATCTGGACAATCTGGACAGCCAAACAAAACGTCCACTCTTCTTTTAGACACATTATAACATTGTCTGCATCTTTTTCTAATAGTTTTGCCATTTATTTGGGCAAATTTGCCGGCAAATGGATCCTACCTGGTACAGTAGGCATAACATCGGGTTTTTTAGGCAAGAGATATTCCATTATTTTGAACCTAAAGTCATACAAGGTTGATTTTCTTTCTCTATTTATATTATACATTAGAAAAGCATTAATCATATTTATTTCTATTATATGTATTATAACTTTTTTGTACCATCTGAGTGTTTTATGTTTAGAGTAATATAACATAACATTTGGTCGTCTTTATCTACTGCTCTCATATATTTATTATATTTTACTTGGACAGCTGGTTTAAATGACATATTTCCATACTTATTTCTAGTTTCTATGTACTGGCTATCGTGTTCTGTACTTATGAAAGCAACCTCCCTCTTATCTCTCCATTTTGTAACAGTGATATTTTTATTATTGTGCATCATCTAGGGTTGCCAGATAGGAACTTATCAAATCCGGGACAGTTCTAAAAAAAAAAAAAAATGTCGGGTCGTGGCCATAATATAAAATATCATATATTTTTTTTATTTTCAAAGGATTCATATTTATATTTAAAAGATGAAATGCCATTTTTTCAAAAAACATACTTTTATTAGCTGTAGGTATGTAATTAGCTTAAATTGGTAAATTAAAACTTTGGTAGACAATTACTAAATTACAAATTAAATAGTAATAAACTGAAGAAAACAAAACAATAATAATAAGATACTATGTACCTTAAATAAATCTTATATCAATAAATTCCTAACTTAAAAAACAATCGGTACCTTGCTTTTTGGTACATAATGTTTTGTTATTAAGCTTTGGTAGTTGGTAGGAAATCAGTACAAACAAATTATGTATCTTCTAATAAAAATAAAACTTCTTCTGATAGAACGTAAATAATAATGTTAAATAAAACGGCGATCAAATCATTTTTTGAAATATTTTTCACTGGATTTTGCCATTTTTATTAGTTTTTCTCCGTCAGAGCTTTGTAAGACTGTTAGAATTTCTGAGCAAGACACGTCAAAGTTTATACGAGTCTGCAGTTCGGACTTGATTAAATCCATGGACATCCGGTTTCGCTCTTTAGTCCATAAACTATTCAGTAGGCTAAATATTCTTTCGCAAAAGGCATTGCTTGTTGGAATAGAAAGAACGAAACCAACTATTTTTTTTAAATTATCGAAATTTGTGGACGTGTTATTTCTGAAGAAATAGGCCCATATTTCGTCGTTTGGTAAGTCTTTCGGAAGCTCCCTATATACCGTTTTCAGACATGCAAACTCTGAGTAAAGGGAGTCAATATTAATAGCGTCTTCTATATTTAATATCATGGGCAATTCGGAAAGCACTTCCCAAGTCAATTTTAATTCCTGTGGTTTGAGGGACAAAAGTTCAAACTTTTTGTAGATTCCATCGGTACTAAAATCATATCTTTCTTCTATATATTTTAATGCTCTTTGCAGAAAAATATGCACCTGTCCTTTAAATAGAGCTCTTTCTTCTTCATCAAGTTTTCTGAAAATGTCCCTGACTTTGCTCCCAAAAAAGTTATCAGCCATCCTACTTTTTAATTGGTCGTGAAGACTTCGCATGGCATGATCAATGTCCAAAATAGTGAAGCTCTCACTTTCTAATAGCAATATCACTTTTGTAAATTCAGGCAAGATATTGCTCAGGAAGAAAAGGTAACAGTCATTTTTACCTTCTTTTTTACATTCTTCATCATCATTATTCATAAAATCAGTACTACAACCTTCTGAAATAAAATCCCATAGCACCTTGTGGCAGTTATCACGACCTTTTGATAAAAAATAATGTTTAACAGCAGGCCAACTCCGAATTAAGCGATCTATAGCTGGCAAAAGTGACAACCATCTTGTAGGTACATGTCTTAGCAGTTCTTTATACTCTATTTGGGCAAATTCACAACATTCTTTCAATTTTTTTGTTTTTAATGCTGATGAACTGAACTCATTATAAATTTTTATGACGATGCTTTCTATGTCAACATCGAGGCCTTTTAATGCATATTTTACGCAATTATTAACAACGTGGCAATAACAATTGGCTTTAAAAATATGATTATTTTCTTCTTTTAATTTCTGGAATACAGAATTATGGGCACCATAATTAACAGAAGCATTGTCTGCACTGTATGCACTTATTTGATCCATGCTGAGATTAGAGTCAGTGGTAATTTTTTTAAGGCAGTTATATATATCGAGCGATGTTTCTTCAGCTTCCTCGTAAAAGTCCAATAATTTTCTACATATACCTTTATTACAATTAAAATATTGAACGGCATAGGGAAATGTTTTTAAATTACCAACATTTGATGCATCTGAGGCTACGGAAAAATAATAACATTCTTTTAATTCAGAGATCACTTTTTCTTGTGAATAGGGTCCTAAAACATTGCGTGTTATTGCCGATGCTTTTGTTCGTCCACATGTCAATTTTGCTGCTATTTGACTATCTGGAATGAATTTGCTAATATTTTTTGCCAAACAATCCAAGCTGTTGTAACTCAAACCATGCTTCACATTATGATAAATAAGAGCCACTTCAGAATTTATTATAGAAATTTCTTCTGAGGCGTGCTTTTTTATAAAAAAAGCATCCAAGCATTTGGAAGTTTTCCTAGCCATCACCATCTTTTTATGTTTTATACTATTAGCGTGAGCCTAGAACAATGCATATAACAAATTTGAAATTAATTAGATGTATACATGCGAAACAAACGCACGCGATGTTATCGTATATAAGTACAACGTGTTTTTTTAATACTCATAACTTTTGGATACCACTGACGAGACCACTTGCAGTAATTCGTGATTTTCTCAATACTTTATGTAACACCGCGTTATTGGAAAACGTTGCGCTCTGTTATTGCATACACTGAAACTTAATACGATTACAATTTTGATATAAGTAAAAAAATACTTACTGCCAGCGCGCGGCGACCTTCATATTGAATTGCAATATCCGAGTTACATGCTTTACAAATTGCAGTAAACTCATTTTTTTTCTCTATCCACTCTTTAAAATCGGGATCGGTGATCCACTTATCATTAAATCCTGTAAATCTTTTTTTACTTGTGGATGGATACGACTCCATGATGAGTAATTGTATCGCACAGTTCGCAGTTTCGCACGCGTGACGCGTCTGATTCAATCAAAGCAAAACACGACTGAAAGAGTGACAGCGGACGCGCCGACGCGGGCGAGAGAGAGGGGGCGGCGGCCGCGGCGCGGGCGAGCGACAGCGGACGCGGGCGAGAGAGAGGAGGCGGCGGGCGCGGGCGAGTGAAGTAAAACTATTGCACGCACTCCCGTCCCGCGCGCCTCCCGCACTCGCTCACCGGCAGCCATGTCATTCCATTCGTTGCTAGTTTATTTTGTTAAAAAATAATAACTTTTCAAAATCCGGGACAATGAGCGCTAATTCCTGGACACGGGACAAGAGGCAAGATTCCGGGACAATCCCGGATTTCCCGGCGGTCTGGCAAGCCTAAATGCATGCCTCAGTTGATTGCAATCGAGCATTTATAACTTGTTTTGGATTTCCTTTCCTATTAAAATTTAGTGTACCAGTTACATGCATTTTTTTATTTAATAATTCCTCGGCTATATCCACACTGGAATAATAATTGTCTACATACAATGAATGGCCATTATTTAAATAATTTGCCACTAATAATCTGATCACTTTTTTAACATGATCTCTACCCCCAACTGTAAGATCTTGAGACCCTGCATACAAATGAATTTTCATGCAGATACCATGATGGTCTGCTAACATATATAATTTTATGCCATATTTGTGGGCTTTGTTTTTTATAGAGGTATACTGACGGAAACGTAAGCGACCTTTCCACAAAATCAATGATTCATCAATGGCCATTTCTTTGGTGGGATAATGCAGGTTTTCCATTGTTTTATTAAACATTTCAATTAATGTGTACACTTTATTTAAGCTTTGGTTTCCTGGTAAAGTCTGCACATTCAGTGCTCTTAATATTAAAAAAAACCTATTTCTTGACATGTAATTCGAAAAATTCACATCAAGCAAATAGTGTTTGCTCCAGAAGTCACTTATTCTATTTAATTTTATAATTCCCATTAGTAAAATCACACCTATAAACACCTTTAATTCTTCTACCGTAACATTTTTTCACCTTCTAAATCTAGCATTAGGATGATGGGCATTTCTTTTGATTTTTTCACCATTTGCATTTGTGCATGTTAATAGAAGAGAAAAAAATTCTGCATTAAACAAAAGATTAAAATAATGTATTGCTTCGGTTTCTGGCATATATTGTTTAATGCCAGGGGTGCCTATAAATGGGAATATATTCTTAACTGCTGAATTACCAGCCATCCAAACAGTTTCCATACTTGTCTGCTGCGTGTCTTCATCCTCCGCTGTGACAACACCTCTTCTTGAAAAAAATCATCCCACTCATTGTTCGCCTCCAGATCTTCAGTTAAAATTCCATAGAGATCTTGGTCTGTTAATGTTAACTCATCTGGAATTATATGTTCACTGGGAGAAGCCATTGTTTCCAAAATTTCTTCTATTGACTGTCAGGATGTGGATGGTTGATCCATTATTCTAAAAAATCAAACATCTCTTTATTATAATACTAGCCTCATCGAAAAAAAGAAAATAAAGCTGCTTACATTAGGTATCCATTGCAAGGTCCCATCTATGTTTAAACCAACATTATATTATTATTTATAACAATATTATTTGACTGCCTCGGTGACATCTGTTTTGTGGTATGGGATTGCTGTGCAAGGGGTCTCCCTGGTTCGATACCGACTTGGGTCAGGAGGACCGAAATTGGAGATTTCTATCTTGGATTACTCAGTATTAACCCAGAATTTGTATTTGTGCCTGGTATATGGCAATTGGGTAGTTTCCTGGGTCAAAATAATTACATTCTATTTAGTCCATATTTTAGATTATTAAAAAATATTGGATACGTATATATACCAGGCCATTAAAGTTATGTGTGACGTCACTTGTTACTAAAAAATGCAGTAACCCGTGACGTCATATGCAACTTTAATGGGTTATATCTTTGTTATTTTTATCTAAAAAAGAAAAAATACTCGTCCTTTATTTTTTAATAATTTTAAAGACGGACTAATAAAATTTTTTTTGTAAACTACCCTATTGGCTCTTCTCCCATCACATGGGACTTAACATAGCTGGCATAAAGGTGTTCAAACACTCTGCTTACCCCATTTGGGATAAAAACGTTTGCTATGTTTTTTAGTTTTTATAAAATATATTGAAAACTAATAAATCAAAATAATAACTAATGTATCATCATTTTCATGCTCTATCATTTAGTGTTTGCGCAAGAAACTTACAATCATTATAAGCTATGACCCGTGCTCATAAAGAATGGGTTTGTGGAAGATGGATAGCATCTTCTATTTTTATTTACTTTGCTTGCATTGAGTTCAAATGTAAATTAAATAATTATTACTTTATTTAAATAATGTAAATTATTAAATTAAATTAAAAAACAATTGAATTTAAAAAAGTATAGATATTTCAATCCCATTCTGTATGTGCATGGGTAGTACATTTATTTTTAATTAATATTTTCTATGTTTTTTATTTTCAAAAACAGTATATAAACATGTTTTACCTAATAATCATTGCATATGTATCATTATCATCATTAGGGTATACCCCAATGTTGTTTAGTAACTATAACGAAATGTTGTGCCAAGTTACAAAAAAAAACATAAAAGTTTTGTTGTAATTGGGTATCCCAATTTGAAAAATCCCCAAGTACTGTTGATTTATGATAAGTACAAAACTATTTTTTTTTTAATTAAAGTTATTATAATTTTTTTATGCTTTGTTTTAATAATAAAATTATACAAAATACACCCATCTGTAATTACCTTCCTTAAAACTGTAATGACTACCTGGACTACTGTACTTAGACTCACCACTCCAAGTGAAACAATAGACTCCAGCCCAATAAAAATACAACGGGGCATCTTCCAAGGAGATGCACTTAGCCCGTTGTGGTTCTGTCTTGCTCTTAACCCATTATCTAAGTTATTAAATAAAACTACAGCAGGAATATCTTTAACCTCCACAAGTAATGAACAGGATCATATTTTAAACCATTTAATACATGGATGATATAAAATTATTTGCGCAATCCGAAAAACAACATAACCCTCATCCTTGGCTGATTGAAAAGCTTCTTCATATACTTGAGGCATAGGTGTGATCGTGTTGGCTGCTGCTTCCTTGCAAAGATTTCTTGCCTTTATAATTTCAGGTTTTACTACATTTGGTTGACACTTGTGGGCCGATTCATGGAAAATTCCGATGTCATGATTCTCCGGAATTTTAATAGTTGCACTGCATGGACGATTAGTGCATCTCCATACAGTTCCAATCTTAGTTTCACGGTGGAAATTGTACGTATGACCATGTCTTACAATCATACGCCGCCCTCTTTCTGTTTTAGTAAAAGTGATCTGAAAAACATATAAACGTTTTTTAATTAACGAGCAAAACATTTTATATACTTAGAAATAAACTCATTTACAAAAAACATATTTATTGATGAAAGTTCATAGGCAAGTGATATCTTTCTGTTATATTTGAGTTAAAAAGGTGCCTATTTTCACAAAGCTTCAAATTCTATGTCCGAACCGATCACGCCATCCGCCATTTTGTTTTACGTTTCTCGTACTCGTGTCGAAAGGAAGCTATACACGAGTATTATTTATACAATAGTCTTATATTTATTACAATCATACTAAATACATGAAATGATTCAATTTATGTGGAAATATAATTATTTCCAGTAGTAGAGTTTAAATAATAAAATACTTACACCATGGCTTCCCGAGCTTGTACCTTTCAAAGACCCACCTATCACATATCACCACAAGCATCGACAGGGTCAAGGGAGTCACTGAGCTAATAAGTTATCAGATATTTGTTTGCTGATAATGTTAGAAAGGGATGGATGCAGGGAACGAGTGAGCACGACGGCGTGTGCAGGAGTATATTTAATTTCGAGTGCTAAAAACTTGTTTGCTATTGCTACTTTAAGAAAATAATGTGTGTATTGAGGATTTGTGACATTTTTAAATAACCCCTCATGAACCTGTGACGAATTTACACTTTTTTTTTGCATGTGACGAATTTACTTTCAATGGATGAATTTTTCAAAATATGACGAATATGAATACTTTGTGACGAATTTACAACAACCCCAAAATACAACTTAGGTTAATGGTCATGGTTGTAATCTGTCATAAAATTGTACACAGCTTAGGTAATATAAGGTATTTGTTACGGGTTTTAAGAATAACTTTTGTTCAAACTTGTGGCACTGACTTCTCACCTATCAGTGGGTGGGTAATCTATAAGTACGTATGACTAAAAATTATTTTTTGCTTTTTAAACCTTTGCTTGTTTTTATTAATTGTGTTGATAAATTAGTAGATACTTATACTTGTCATGTAACTACGTACGTAATAATTACCCGACTACGGCAAAGCCAAATCGAGGGTTGTGATTTTGACCGGTATGTACGTATTTTAGGTAGTAGTATTGTAAGTCTAAGGTTATGAAGTTTCACCTACCGCCTGGGGAAGGTGCTTACCGGACACGGAAGTTTTGGTAGGTTCATGTTTCGGATTAGGCTGGAAGAAACGCCCGGGTGTCATCACTACGAGGACTGCGGACGGCGAGTAGGTGACTCGCCGCTCGACTAGAATCACACCCAAGCATACGGCGCCTGCGTTCCGCGAGCGCCTCAAAGAGCCATCAGAGCGCTACAGATAAGGCCCAATGGTGCTGATGCTGATACGGAGCCGCGGAACACTTAACGGGGCTCCGGCTCAATGTGCAGGGGAATGGGATGGTTTGTAGTCAGTAAGAGTTTGACACTCCCTCTCGCCTCACATGGGCGGGAAAGGTCATTAGATGATTTTCCCCCCTCAAAAAAGAAAAGAGACTAAAGTTGAAGTGAACAAAAATATAAAAACAGTCATATTAAAGATGCTTTTATTCAATCTTGTTTAAACATTACAATTTACAAAAAATGTGTTTTGATTTTAAATGCTTATATAAAAATAACGTTGCACAATAAAAATTGCACGTCAATAATATAAAGACTTATAACCATTTCATGGCTTCACTTTTAATCTGCTTGTAGCTAGTCATGTTACGCAATATTTGCACATCGTTCAAGAACATTGTCTATCACAACTATGTGTGTGTATTTTAATGTGTGTGCTGGTAGTCCGCACTAGCGCAAACTGGAGCGGCGACAGTGTGTGCAGGCGCGGGAGCGTAGCGTCGCTTTGAGCGCCGCTAGCTGCTGTTTCAAATACGACACCTCCACCGACAGTTCTATCTCGCGCAGCTTCCGCCGGTCGCGGCTCTTCTTCGCCGCCGCGTTGTTCTTCTCGCGCGTGCATCGGTAGGCGTCGTCTTTCGCCGCGGTGCCGGCGTGTGATTGCGACCGCACAGCGCGACGCATGTTCGGATTGTTTCTGACTAAAGTGCCACCTTGGTGATCTTTTATAGCAGTCACGGCAGCCTCTCTCAACGTAACGATGAACATTGTCTATCACAGTTATGTGTGTGTATTCTGATGTGTGTGCTCGTAGTCCGCACTAGCGCAGACTGGAGCGGCGACAGCGTGTGCAGGCGCGGGAGCGCATCGTCGCCTTGAGCGCCGCTAGCTGCTGCTTCAGATACGACACCTCCACCGACAGTTCTATCTCGCGCAGCTTCCACCGGTCGCGGCTCTTCTTCGCCGCCGCGTTGTTCTTCTCGCGCGTGTATCGGTAGGCGTCGTCTTCCGCCGTGGTGCCGGCGTGCGATTGCGACCGCACAGCGCGACGCATGTTCGGATTGTTTCTGTCTAAAGTGCCACCTTGGCGATCTTTCATGGCAGCCATGGCAGCCTCAACGTAACGCTGAACATTGTCTATCACAGCTATGTGTGTGTATTTTAATGTGTGCGCTGGTAGTCTGCACTAGTGCAGACTGGAGCGGCGACAGTGTGTGTAGGCGCGGGAGCGCATCGTCGCCTTGAGCGCCGCTAGCTGCTGTTTCAGATACGACACCTCCACCGACAGTTCTATCTCGCGCAGCTTCCACCGGTCGCGGCTCTTCTTCGCCGCCGCGTTGTTCTTCTCGCGCGTGCATCGGTAGGCGTCGTCTTCCGCCGTGGTGCCGGCGTGCGATTGCGACCGCACAGCGCGACGCATGTTCGGATTGTTTCTGTCTAAAGTGCCACCTTGGCGATCTTTCATGGCAGCCATGGCAGCCTCAACGTAACGCTGAACATTGTCTATCACAGCTATGTGTGTGTATTTTAATGTGTGTGCTGGTAGTCTGCACTAGCGCAGACTGGAGCGGCGACAGTGTGTGTAGGCGCGGGAGCGCATCGTCGCCTTGAGCGCCGCTAGCTGCTGTTTCAGATACGACACCTCCACCGACAGTTCTATCTCGCGCAGCTTCCACCGGTCGCGGCTCTTCTTCGCCGCCGCGTTGTTCTTCTCGCGCGTGCATCGGTAGGCGTCGTCTTCCGCCGTGGTGCCGGCGTGCGATTGCGACCGCACAGCGCGACGCATGTTCGGATTGTTTCTGTCTAAAGTGCCACCTTGGCGATCTTTCATGGCAGCCATGGCAGCCTCAACGTAACGCTGAACATTGTCTATCACAGCTATGTGTGTGTATTTTAATGTGTGTGCTGGTAGTCTGCACTAGCGCAGACTGGAGCGGCGACAGTGTGTGTAGGCGCGGGAGCGCATCGTCGCCTTGAGCGCCGCTAGCTGCTGTTTCAGATACGACACCTCCACCGACAGTTCTATCTCGCGCAGCTTCCACCGGTCGCGGCTCTTCTTCGCCGCCGCGTTGTTCTTCTCGCGCGTGCATCGGTAGGCGTCGTCTTCCGCCGTGGTGCCGGCGTGCGATTGCGACCGCACAGCGCGACGCATGTTCGGATTGTTTCCGACTAAAGTTTCACATTGGCGATCTTTCATGGCAGCCTCAACGTAACGCTGAAAATCTGACTCCTCAAATTCCAGCTCTGCAGTCGATTTCTCCGGTGGAAAACGGGCGGCGGGTTGTTCCAGGCGGGGGTGACGACGACGGCGTACTTAAAGAATGGTAGCCTGAACTACCACCTGAGGAAACTTGAAAATCTCTATTATGGCGTAGAGGCAGCGGCGATGGAGAGGAGCATGCTGGGAGCAAAGAGGAGTGATAGAATAAGAAACAACAACATTCGTAAAAAGACCAAGATACAGGATGTAATCTTAAAAATAAAAAGGCTAAAATGGAAGTGGTCGGGACACATGATCAGAGGAAAGGAAAAATGGAACAAAATATTAACGCAATGGTACCCAAGAGAAGGTAATAGAAAAAGAGGAAGACAGCAAAAAAGATGGGACGATGATATTAGGCAGGTCGCTGGAAAAACATGGAGTAGAATAGCCAGAGAGAGATCAGAATGGAGTAGGTTGGAGGAGGCCTTTGCCAACTGGCAAACGGATTTACAAAAAGTGAAGAAGCACCAAATACGCGAAAAATTTTAATTAAATAAAAATGTTCTAGTTCACGTAATGTAAGAAAGTATTTTTTTTTTTTTCCTTTTTGTTATCCGAATAAAAGGCTTATTATTATTATATATTATTATATAGAGGCAGCGGCAGCTACACCCTTATTGCGTGTTCAAGGATGATTAAGGAATGCGGTGCTGGAGATGGCCGCTCTTATATTCTCGAAGGGCGGGGCTCTGTGACTGGGCGTGTCGGTGGCGTGGTTGAGCTACTGCATCCTAGCGGGACTGCAGGGAAGCACGGTGTAGCGAGTAGATATAGCCTAACGCGATTACGAAACGATCTGATGCGAATTTAATGCGATGCGGAGCGATGCGGCTACTCTGTCCTACGGGCCCGCGATCCGTCCCCTCCGCGCCTTCCGCCGCCGTTCAGTTCAGTTAGCATTACACATTTGTCATGGACGGATGGAAGCTAATGTTGTTGGAAAATTCATATCTTAAATATGAAATATTGAAGAAATGTATAAAGCAGAAAAGTGGAACTAATACTGTGTTAAGTACACAGAAAAGCATACTCATGGGGATTTTCATAATTTGTACCAGGATTTACGTACTCAACTCCTGTTGTTCAAGGAATACTGTCGAATGTTACCTACAACGTTTGACCATATTGTACAAGCCATCAAACCTGTTCTGCAATTTACTACAACAAATTTTCAAGAAACTATAAAATAATAAACTATGAAATAAATGTTAGAAATTACATATAATATTAATTAAGTTTAATTAGTAAGTATATACATAATTGCAATACTTTCACAAAGATGTGTAATAGCCATGTTGTTGAGCACTGGATTGTGGTGGGTTTAACTTTGACAGCTCCGTTAGAAGAAGCTCCTGCATCTGCGTTCCAAAATGTAATTTGTTGAGTGATGGCAACTGTTTTATGTAAGGTAATATTGATTTGAACCAAAGAAGGTTGTCGTCAGTATTAACTGGTTGATCTTCGCGAAGATCTTGTCGAAGGCTGTTATCTATGGACATGTTCTGTGGTATTTCTTATAAAATAGATGAAAGCTAGGTGTTGTCATTGTCGGATGCGTTCATGTTGAATATCTCTTCCGGACTAGCCGTGTCTGAATACACTGACAGATCTACAGAATTGCTTTCGGAGTCTTGTGATATAATATTCCCTTCTATTTCTCGGGGTTTTAAAACTCCTTTAAAAAAAGACATGGCCTCAAAATGTGGCCATGTGCCTGTATACTTCGGCTCATTATCGGCGTTAGTCCCAGAACGTGGGTTAGGATTTTTTTTTAATTCTTAACTAAACGTGTCTCTCAAATTTTCCATTTTTTCTTAGTCATTTCACCTGAAAAAAGAAAAGGAATTAAAAACTTAATATTTTGCATTATTTCAGGCATTTGGCCACAGGTATACAATTTCGGCAAGTCGCTTTCTCGTTCAGAATTTCAAAATCTGCTATTTCTACAATCGTACCAAAAGTTTGCAAAGTTATATGGACTCGATTAGTTAGGAAACACATGCCCGAGCCTTCAAAAGATAACTTTAAAAACATAGCGCAATGTTTTTGGGACAGATGGCAGTTTCTTAATTGCATTGGATGTATTGACGGAAAGCACATTCGCCTAATAAAACCAAAAAAGAGTGGTTCCATGTATTATAATTACAAATCTTTTTTTTTCGGTTGGGTTGTTAGCAGTCACTGACGCAAATTATAAGTTTGTAATGATAAATGTGGGTTCCTATGGAAAAGACAACGATGCCGGTGTTTTTGAGGAATGCCCCTTTCGAAGAGCAATAGAAGAAGGAAGACTAAAAATACCTAAAGAACAAGTATTAGGCTCTAATATCATAGCTCCGTATGTGCTCCTTGGAGATTCGTCGTTTCCTGTAAAGAAATACCTGTTGCGACCTTTTCCAGAAAAGTCAACGGTTAAAGGGGACGCCAAAGATAATCATAATTATCCCTTATTACGAGCCAGAATGGTGGTGGAATGTTCTTTTGGTTCAATAACGTCTAAATTCAGAATTCTACATAAATCTATCGAAACTAATGTTACAAATGCAGTTCATATCGTCAAAGCCATATGTTTACTACACAATATTATAAGGGATCTTGAATCAATAAATGAGAATGAGTTAATTAATAATGTCTTTCCGAAAAACATATCAAAATATGACACAAACACAAAGACATAATTCTCAAAGAAGATACAATGCTACATCAGGAGCAGTCACACAGACAAGAGAAATTTTTAAACTGTATTTTGAGCAACATCCTTTGCCAAGAATGTAATAATAATAAACAAATATGTTGTACTTACTTGTAGTCCCAATTATTTTAGCCACAGCCTCCCATTCGCGGTGCGATTATAACCGGTTGTGATAACTTTTAGTCCTTTTGTCCCATAATGTAGGACGTTCTTGGATAGCATTAGTAAGAAGTTCTACCTCCGACATTACAATTTTTGCTTAAAAAAAAATATGGCCGACGCGTCCACTTCGTGCAAAAATATCAAGCCAACTGATCGCGTTCGCTTCATTTCGCGCCGCTCCGCAACGCACCCCACGTGCGTTTGGTCACGTAAGCCACTTCAATCACTTCAAAAAAAGCACGTGGCTTGTATTGCTGAATTCCCTATCAATATGGGTGAGTTGGGCGATGTTGGTGTACGTGTCATGAGTTTTAACAGGTGCCGAATGCAGTCGGAGTAGTATAGGAACACAAAAATAAAGTAGGGGAGACCGAGGAAGGCTGTGACAATTTTTACTTAAAAGCACATATCTCAGTAAAGAAACATAGACCGTTATGGATTTTAGTCACGTTATAGCTCAATCCTTACCCTTTAGATTTAATCATGAAAGCCAACATATAATATAAGGTTTTTGAAAAAAACCTTCAAAACTGTAACTACTCCCTCTGTCACAACTCACCTAACACCGAAATAAGTTGTGACAGCTGGGTATTTACATTTAATTTGATAAATAAAATTACTTTTACTTTAATTATAAACAAAACACACTCTTTTTTTGCATAAAGGAACTTAAAGTATTATTACGAATAATTGCAGGAATTATAATAACAACAAATATTAATATAAAAGTATTAAATAATTTTTTTGAACAATTGTATTATTATGAGATCAATATTTTTAAAATCAGTCAATAGTCTTAACCTAATCAGACAAACAATTATGGCAGATGTATTGCAGCTCACCCCCAGTTCATTCTTCCTGAGACCAGCTTTTATACTCCAAGCATTGAACCCACTTCTCATCCGATCTGCTATTGGCATAAGGTTCATCAAAAATAATCATTTTCTATCTTCTTCAGCATCATCTGCATTCTTCTTATTAGTCTTTTTGGTTTTTTTAGGTACATCCTTTCCTTCGCTTAAAACGCGTTTTTTCACGTTTTTAATTTTTCTGCTGGCTTCTATGGCAGCTAATTCATTTTTTATAGGTGTGTCAGTAAGCCGATTTTATCTTGTGCCTATTAGGTTGGTTATTTTTTCTAGGCGGAGCTTCTGGCAATGGCCTCACTGATTCTGGAGAGAACACATTAGAAGTAGTAGCTAGAGGAGTACGAGCTCTAGACGTGGAGGCGACGGGTTTATTGGCGTTATTAATTGGCAAAGATTGATTGATAGATGTTGTGGCTTGATCAGTGAATGTAACTTGAGTAAGGACTCTTGCTTCATTAAATTGAATGGTGCCAATAGTAGGATTTGGAGTGTAGGGTCTATTTTCTACATTAGCCGTAGTTTCTTGAACGCTTGATGATTGCTCTGGTTCCGGATTTGGCAAAATACGGTCAGTGACTTGACTGGGCAGGAAATCGGCTTCTCCAAAGATATCTGTATTAACAGGCCATGTTCCAGTTGCAGCAAAACCAGCACTGATATTCTTTGCAGTGATCGCTACGTTAAATGCTGATCTTATTATGGATGGAATATCATATATACTCATGACTTTCCCATTATTCCCATTAGAGCGCATCCAATCATCACATGCTGTATTAATTGCTTTTCTTAAAGGCCTAATATAGCACGATCTAAAGGTTGCAGCTATAGAGGTAGTATGTATGCATCTTTGTGTTTGAGCTGTGACAACGTGTCACAACTCTCTTAGGTAACAAAAATCGCGAGTCAAAAACATTTTATTTATTTGGGAACGAGATGTAAACACAGCAAAACAATGCCACACTTTCAAAGTCTAATTTAACACACAACATAACAAAAAATAGCTCAGCCACGTTAATACAGTTCCGGACACTTGAATCGAGCCACATTACATTCCCGGGCCTAAAAGCTCATTACACAAAATATATGCAATATAACAAAAAAGTTTTTATGCATTTTTAATGCTGGCATATTTCATCGTCTTTCCCGTATGTATTCTTCCAAAATTGAATTTAAGATTTTAAAATAAAGAACAAAAGCCGAGCTTGGTCACTGATTTGAAAAAAATAATGGCTGTAGAAAGTTACTTTTGAAGCAATTTAATGAGATTGTTTATGCAAAGCTTGGCACAGATGTCGCTGTGTACTTCAGACCCATAATAAAAAAGGCGCTAAGAACTTGTTTGAATTTTACCTTGTTTTACTCATCTTTTTAAATTTATTTTATAGTTTAGTAGTAAACAAAAACTAGTAAAGGATTTTTGAAGTTTCTTATGCGACAAGATGATAATATATTGTGATCATTAGTGACTGAAATCTTAGTTTTGAATAACGATTGAACTTTAAGTGCGACGTGATTACTGTAGTTACATAAGTATTAAGTTTTTATAATGTATAGCACATGGAATTTAAAGGCCTTAAAGGCTAAATTAAGAGAACGGGGTGCATCTTTGAAGGGCAGAAAAGCAAACCTAATTGAAAGGTAAACATAACCTCAATTTAATATTAGCCTAGCCTAGACTTCTTAATGATCTAGGTGACATCAAAATGTAATGTACTTCGCGGCTTTAATAAGTGAATATTTATTTTACAGACTTGAGGCATATGACAGGAATCAGAATTTTGATGCTGTTCAAGCGGAAGAAAATGATGATACAAAAATGGTTTTACCAGAAAATGATGCTTATCGGGACATCAACAGCAGTATGAAGTTACCACCAATTACAAAGGAACATATAACCCTTTATTTCTTACAGTAAGTTCATTCTTTTAAGTACAGTTCTTACTAATTCTGATACAAAAACCTAAATCATTTACCTAACAATGATATATGTACCTAAATAAATTTTACATTATTTTTACTTTCAGATTTCATAAGAACCCAAATATGGTAAATCATTATATGAAGCACGGTTCCTACATATTTTGAGAGCAGCATTTATTGGTGACTCATGCTACTTTAAAGGATATGTCAAAGCTTCAATGAAAAGAATTATGTATGAAGCTAATGTTAAATTAAGTATGAAAGGTGAGATTTTGGAGTGCAACTGTGAATGTGTTGCTGGTAGTGGAGTGAGTGCTCACTGCAAACATGTAGCTGTAGTTCTTTGTGCACTTGAAAATTTTATAAATGACAAAATTCTTCTGAAAACAGAAGCACCCACAGAAAAACTACAAACTTTCCATATGCCCAAAAAAATTTTTACAGACAGTCCATTAAAAGCGCACAAGTTGCCATCTAAAAGAAAATCTATTGAGAATATTGTATTCGAACCATATAAAAAAAGAATTAATATTCAAGAATATACCCAAAAAGTGAGGAATATTATTCTTAACTGCAAATCCCAAATGCCCTTTAAACAACTATATGGGCCTGCAAATCCATATGCGATTGAAAATGACCATGATTACTGTGGACCTGTGACCAACAAAATTTTGGAGCAACTAGAATTAAATACATTATCTTTAAATAGAATTAAAGAAATAGAACGTGAAACTTGCGGGCAGCGAGAAAATCCTAAATGGTTTACTTACAGAAAGTGTCGCCTGACTGCTAGTATATTTCATACTATATGCCATATGAGAGAAACTAGTAAAAATGGTTATGCCATGCAAATACTAGAAAAAGAAAACATTTTATCAAAATCGATTATGCATGGTATAATTTATGAAAAAGTTGCATTAAAACAGTATATTGATTTATACAAGGTAGATGTGACAGAAAGTGGAGTGCATATTTCAGAAGAAAGGCCCCTTATTTGGCTGCTTCGCCTGATGGTATTTTAAATGAAGAGACATTAATTGAAATAAAGTGTCCTTATGCTAGTAGATATCAAGTTATAAGTCCAACTACAGTACCATACTTAATCTACATTGACAATAAGTTATGTTTAAAAGCAGAAACACCATATTATTATCAAGTTCAAGGGCAACTTTACTGCAGTAACAGAAAACATTGTAATTTTATAGTTTATACCTTTAAAAGTTTAGAGGTGGTTTTTGTTAATAGAGATGATGAATTCATAGAGCAAATGCTATACAAATTGGACTCTTTTTATCATTCTTATTTCAAGAAAGCTATAATCAACAAATATTTTTATAAGAATTATTTAGAAATTATAAAACATGATTTTTCTGAATAACCATAATTAAAAGGTGTTATTTTTTGATGATTATTGTGCCAAGGTATTGTGAAAACAGAAAATAAAAAATATTTTATAATAATAAGGCTTTTATTTAGAACTATTGTCTGTGTAACAAAATTGCGTATTAAAATTTCACCTCCGAATTAACAAAATATTATAAAAATGAAACACTTCGACCAAAAGGTTTCTGGACATTGAGATAAGATGTTAAAAATATTAATTTACAATTTTTTCCCTAAAGTTACATAACATAAGGCACACAAAAAATATTTTTGACATTAACGGAACATAGTATGCATTGACATCAGTTTTAAAAATTTTATAAGTTTTTATCAGACCTATTAAACGTTCAATATGTATTCGATTAGCAGCTAATTTCTGGTCATGTTTCAATTTTATACCAGGTAATTGAGATAAACCTTTCAAAAAATTTGGCACAAGTAATGTTATGTCTCTAGATTAAAATGTGTTATTTTTTGATGATTATTGTGCCAAGGTATTGTGAAAACAGAAAATAAAAAATATTTTATAATAATAAGGCTTTTATTTAGAACTATTGTCTGTGTAACAAAATTGCGTATTAAAATTTCACCTTTGAATTAACAAAATATTATAAAAATGAAACACTTCGACCAAAAGGTTTCTGGACATTGAGATAAGATGTTAAAAATATTAATTTACAATTTTTTCCCTAAAGTTACATAACATAAGGCACACAAAAAATATTTTTGACATTAACGGAACATAGTATGCATTGACATCAGTTTTAAAAATTTTATAAGTTTTTATCAGACCTATTAAACGTTCAATATGTATTCGATTAGCAGCTAATTTCTGGTCATGTTTCAATTTTATACCAGGTAATTGAGATAAACCTTTCAAAAAATTTGGCACAAGTAATGTTATGTCTCTAGGTGCTAACAAATCTTGAATGTTAAATCCCCGATCTGCCATGATTCCATCACCTGGATTACATTTATGAATAACATTACAGCGTTCTATGATTTTCCTGTCACTAGTTGATCCTCCATATCCTTCTGAACAATATGACAGTAGTCCACCAGGTGTGGAGCCAACCAGAAACTTAATTGTGTTGTGATGTTTATAACTACTAAAAGTGGCCTGTTGTGATTTTGGGTTTTTAGGTCTTGTGATAGGCACTTCAGTTCCATCTATAATTACTCTGGTAATTTTATGGTTTTTTTAAAACTGTGATGGCATAAAATAATCAACGAGTTCTCTACTTGGCCATATATTTAGTTTTGACCACAATTGGTGTACAAAATTTATCCATGTTACAAATACATTACCTACTTCTGATTTACTGATATCAAAATGTTTTGATAGAATAAAATCATCTAAGTTTCTTCTGAGTTTCATTAACATAAGTAAAAACTGATCTTCAATAGACATATTCATAACATAATTCCTACGATAAGAAATACTGTATGCCATCGGCAAAAGAGTTGATAAAACAGTCTTAAACTTCTCATAGCTTTCCAGTCCAGTATAGTATAGTATAGTTTCATCATCTGTCATAAGCTGATAGTTTGAAAAAAGAAAATTCAAACGTGGAGTTTGTGTAAATGAATTCACAAGCCTGATTGATCTTTCTGGTTCATCGCTAACCATGTTTCCTATCTCATGTGTTTTAATTTCAATTTCCATTTGTACATCGGGCAGATTTTCTTCTTTATCAGAGACTCCATTTCTATCTTCCATGGAGTAATTACCAGTAAGTGTTTCTATAGGGTTCTGTGGAGGAAATAATTCTTTCTTTGCTGACCTTTTAATGTATCGATTTTGTCGTTCTATAGCAGATGTTGAAGGTTTAGGTGTCCATGGGAAAATGGAGGGAACAACACCTTTTTTTAAATGTTTACAAAGTGGTGGCAGTCCTGGAAATAAATTTCACTTATTATTTCAGTGACAACAAACACACGCAATAATAACCTGTTTACTAGAAAACTAATTAAAAAATATATGATTTCTATCTTTTCGGTCAAAGGGTCATCTTAAATAAGATAATTTTACCTGTCGTAGCACAAATTTCTTGATAATCGGATTCTTTAAAATGTTTATAGCATAACCTGGAATTCTTTGAAGCTTTGATTTTTTTTATTTTTGTAGCTTTTTCCCATAACTTTTTTAATTTCGGATCGCTTGGAAATTTATGTCTTCCATTCTCATTGCACCCTACTATCACACATCGAGACATTTTTAAATGAAACCAAAAAATAAAACTTTGTAATTACTCCAAAATCATTGGTTATGGGCACTGACATGAAATATACTACGTTCATGTCAGTGGTTATGAGTCAGAAATACAAAGCGCAGCCTAGCGGAGGAAAAATGTACTATCCAGTAAACAACTCCATTTCGATTTTGTTTGAATTTTTTTTTCTCATTTTTTGAATGTTTACTTCTTTTGTCAACAATCGCCGTTTTTGGGTCACCGATAGGTTTTAAAACGGAGTAATCATTTTTTGGATGATACCCTAGCGTAGTAAGATAAAAATGCTTGCATACTTCAATGTCTTCGGAGTCTTCTTCGGCAGTAAATTTAATAAAATGCTTATAAGTAAATTTCCGCTGTGATAGTTCTCTGTTTAGGTAGATTTTTGTGTCGAACCTACCAAAATCAATATTTGAGATTGTCTATTTAAACTCCAATAAAACGTATTTATTTCTTGTCTTCTTTCTTCTGATATCAGATATTTACACTTTTTAAAACATTTGTCAGAAAATGGTGGCTTCACATTAAATTGCAGATTTTTTTGGTTTACTTTTGATTGTTTTCTAGCTGTCCCTTTCTTAGTTAGTGACATTTCATAGTCGTTATTAGTAATGGTGGTGTCATATTATTTTATCGATTTCTTGTACTGTAATCACTCCTTCAGGATCAACAACAAAAATCTTCTGCTTTATGACATCTTGATTTTCTTCACGATTCTTTAATAAATTGTCGTCTAATTTATTCGCTTCCGTTTCAATGTGTTCTTCTTGTAAAGGTATAATGTTTTGATCTTGGTTAACTTTTTCTCGTAGCGTAATCGCTTGCTGATTACCTGTATTATCTTCTGAAACCAAATGTATTTCTGCCACAGTAGTAATAATACTTTGTGTTGCTGGTAACTTCGTTTGCTTACATACTTCTTTTTTACTTTTCTTCTTATTTGTTTTTTTTCGATAGTGGTATATCTTCTGATGAAGATGCATATAAACTTTCATCAAGTCCTTCGTGAACGTAATCTTTGTCTTTCACCGAATCATCCGAATCCATAAAATCAAGAATTGTTTCCTTGCATAATAGCCAATCATCACTATCTACCCGAGATTCTGTATTTATAACCCTTGCATCAATAACTTCATCATATTCTTGTAATTTACTTGGCCCTTCATTTGAGGGTTCAAAACTTGTCAAAAGTGTCAGTGGCTCGCTGCATTATTTTGTTGATCCGAGATTTCCGCATATTTGTCTGCAATTAAAGAAATCACTAAATTCCACGATGGCATATGTCTATCTCTTAGGGATAACCCACAATAACCATTTTTTAACCTTTACTTATTTACGAGAAATAATAGCTTTTTTTTAAGCAATATAGCATTAAGCTTTATCCAATAAAGTACTTTTAATATATTGTGCGTTTAATATAGATCAATATTGCCCTTTACGGCATGTAATTTAAATGAATAGTTTCACACATTGACAGCAACTCGTCGCTTCACTTTTATGTTCGATTCGAAACATTCCGCGCTTGAATGTGTAGGTATTAATTACTTAAAGATTTTAAGGGGGAAAGCTTAATGAGCCTGATAAAATAAAATTTTAAAATTTGGAGGCAGAAAATGAATAAAAATTAAAATGTGCCTTAGGTATATTACAAATCCATTTGGTGCCAAAGAAATAGAGGTAGGTATATAAATCTCTTACTAACGATCTCATCACAAAAACGAACGTTTCACAAATATTTATACCTCATACATATTTTGTACCTAATTTTTTTTTTTTAAGGGTGGAAATCATCCAAATGCTGTGGATACTGAATACAAAGATCACTATTGCATTCAGAGCATAAATGGTCTGTGACGCCTTCATCTCTGGGCAGCTTAGGTTTTGGGTGAGCTACATCATGAGCCTCACATTTTGGACATTTATCCTGTTCGGGTTGCTGAGTTGAAATATTTTTAATTTTGATCCTCTTGTGAAATGCAGACCAGCTACATGGCTGTTTGTTTTTAGTTTCCAAATGGTGTTTTAGGAATAGAAACATTTGAGAGAGTGTCAGTCCAGTGGGTAAATATCGTCGGTTGGGTGCATGCTCTAATCTGTAATGAGATGTAGTCGGGTGGAATAGTTCGATAAAGTCGTCTATCTCTTTTATACCTCTATATTCATCAGTAAAAGAATGTTTTGGTTTATGTCGACGTCTTAAATCTGGAGCTGATGATGCTTTTGCTGAATCAGGAGTTTTAGAAAATTTGAAATTTGCTTTCAATACAGCTAGCACTGCTTGATCGTTAGTGTAGCCTAAAGTCCTCAGGAACATAGTTTTACAAACACGGTGATTTAGTAATCTGTATATATAGGTATGGTTTCTTTTGGTAGAGTTTGAATACCGTATAGCAATTTTATTATTTTCTACATTTCTCGAAATAAAATCTCTTCTTCTTTGTATATCCATATCCCAGTAGCTATCCCATATTGTTTGCCGTTGTTCTTCAGTAATATTTGCTGTACACTTCCTTGTGCATTTAGCTGAACAAGCAATACCCATGGGATGATCTTCTTTGCTAATTATTAGCCTAGCTCTGGAATCTTTAACACGTTTCTTTTTTGCAGGTGGAGGCTCAATAATTTGATTATCACTTAGTTCATTCGATTGATAACTTGGGTTTTCAGAAATATTTTCCAAATAACTAACTGCTGCTGCAGCTGAAATTTCTTCGTCGTCCGTAAATCTATCTTCATCGAGTTGTAAATTGGAGTGATTGTGTTCTTCTACACATGGTATCGTAAATTTCTCATTTGCATGGGGTAAGTAATCACTATTATTTACGTATTGGCAATTAAAATTTTCGTTTGATAAACTCGTAGGTGTAACATTTCTCATTTCTGCAAAATCGGGAGTTAAATGCGACGGTGGTAAGTAATTTTTATCTTTAGTTATTTCATCTAGGTCATTTTGGTTTTCAAGATTAGGAACTGCTGCAGAAATGTCCATGTCTTCATAAAGTTTTTGATTGTCCAATTGCATATTTGAAAATTCAGTCGTTCGCTCGAAAGAGCTTTTATAATGTTTCTCGTTTACTAGTGGCAAGTCGTCATAAGTTATAATTGTAGATGTATCATCGCTTTTTAAATTAGGCTGCCGCTGGTTAATTGGAATTTCTTCATATTCTTTACATTTGGATGGTAAACGAAAACTTTCCTTTTGAATGCTTTCCTCCTTAAACAAAACATGAAAAATCCATTTAAATACTTATAGGTAGATGCTTTAGCATCTAAACAAAAAGTTGTCGTAACTAATAATAAATCTGCCCCTATAAAATCAGCGTAGTTTACATTGAATTGTGATATCTTCGGATGAAGATGGAATTATATTAACTTTATCAATGTATTATGTTTCTAGCCATTACTCTTCTATTAACAGGTAAAGGCTTCCCCGTTCATCTTACCACGATCTTCAGGAACCTATTTGCGTGGCAACACTTCTACGCAAAACTTTATAATGAAGGATCAATAGTCTTTTTCAAATATAACCAACAAATAATTGATTAAGAAAATAAAACGCACTTTGATTACCAAGTTTATTTAATTTTGATATTCCAAGCAAATCCAAAGATATCACACATCACAGTTCAAAGATAACCTGTTTTATATATAATAAATACGAAAGTATTTTTATTTGTTAAAATTTTTTATTAAGTTCAAGCATATTTAAGCGCATATCAGATTTGGATGAAATTTGGCCCATGAATAAACATAGAAAAAATATTAAAACCAACTAAATGAAATAAAACAAGGTTGTCGTATCCTTTATGTAAAAAAAATATATTGTAGGTACATTCCTTTTCAGTTCTCGCGACACGTGAGTTTGGCGACGCAAGAGTTGGTAAGAGAATTTAGATTAAAAGAATAAAACACTTTTTATATTATTTTGTAAGGGTAAATTCAAACCAGACGAAAAATGGATAGCACAGTTTTACAGGCATGCAAATATCAACATTGCTGTCTTTGAAATAAAGTCGAAAATAACTCCGATAAGTCCGACCTACGACCGAAGTATTTGCGACTTTATTTTAAGTGACACAATGTCAATATCTGCTTAGCAGGGAAAACCACCATGCCCCAAACTACGGTACTAGATCTACCTTCTTTACCTAAAATGTTTATTCTTACTTTATGTGTGTACCCTAACTTACCTATAGGTAGGTACTAAATGTCGTTAAAGGTACTTAATTAACCAAGTGAGGGGTATAGTATCAAAGGCAGCTAAATCCATATGAAATTATTTTCCACAAATCGAAAAAAACTGTTATTTTATTTTTATTTGGCAACACCGTAAACATGATTGTTTGACAGGATGCTCTAGTACAAAATAAATAGGTGTACCAACAAAAGTATCTTGTAAGAGGGGGATTTATGGGCTATTTTAAATAATTTGTGTTGGACATAGCTGTGTTTGATACCAACTATTGGATTTAGCTGTCTTTGATTCTGACAAATATGGATAAAGCTGCCTTTGATTGCAACACAATCGATGACGTCATGATGCTAGTGATGTACGCATAACAACAGAAACATCGCATGGTGTGGATAATGGTATGTTGAATGAAAATAGAAATTGCATTCAATGTTATTTCCATTATTATAAGATATGGTACATAAGTTTGATTAATACATATAAATGAGAAAGTAACAGTCTGTCTATTCAAAAACCAGAATATGAAAAATCAACTTTATTTGTTTGTAATAATTTTGTAATAGATAGAAAGATAATTATAATGAAGTGAAAGGGAAGGATTCCAATGAAGGTAATAATTTTATTGTTATATCCTTAACGTAACATCTTCTTCGACTCTCTCACAAGTTTCTTCTTCTATGTCATTTGTTTCATTTTCTCCGTTCTCTTCTAAAAGCTGTATTTCTTCTTCATCTATGATAAATAAAACATTCTTATAGTATTCCAAATAAGGTAACTCCTTCCAGTTTTCACCATAGTGCTTTAGTAGTAAATTTCTCACATCTCTGAGCTTAAGTGGTTTTACATCTATGCCTTTTGAAATTGTAGACGGTTGTATCAGTTCTGCTTTTTTTCCTTTTCGGCAAATAGTCCTGGGAGCACCTGTGTCAGAATTATAAAACAATTCCCCACGAATCATAACATCTCCCTGCTTTTTGGTCCGTCGAATAATGATACGCTTGCACTGCGATATCTTAAAATGAAGCTGGGCTGGTGTTTTGACTATGTTCTGTATAGAGGTTTTCCAGTCAAGAACATCTATCTCATCAAGTTTTGTGACTGTTGCGCATTCGCTAATAATATCTGTATAATCTGAAGGCTGTGTTATCACTTCAAGTTTGCGAATTCTTTTTTCTATATTCCCAAACACGCGATCCGCTGGCATAAATGAGTGTCCGGTAATGGGAAATACAAGTTCTATTTTTTTTATATGCGGATGCTGCAAAATCCACCGTGAGCACATAGATACCATCACAAGATTTTTATATTGTCCAGCGCACCCGTCTGCTACTAAACGTAAGTGAGTAATATTCGTCAAATCACTTTTGTTTAATCTATCGTAAACAGCGGAGGCTATCTGATTTGCACCTTTTGCGTATTCATCTTCAGTCCACACATATGAAAATGTTGTGTTTTTATTTAATGGGTCTTTGGATCCTCCTTGAACAATTGTGAAATTGTACAAGTATAACTGTCTGCTGTAGTAACAGCTTTGATCAGGCACTTTTGGCAGGACCAGGTTTTTCTGACAGTCAAATGAAAAAGTTGCCATTTGGTCTTTTTTTTCTCGTAGAAGTTTAAAAAATGCTTGTGATTTTAGTTTGTGAACTCTTTGTTCAATTACAAGCTGATTTTTTTTCGATACATCTTTTTCTGCTTTTATTTTTTCCTGGAATTCAATACATCTAGAACATACATCAGTCCTAGGACTACCAAAACCTAAATTAAAGTCTTCATTAAAAATTGCTCTGAAATACGATTGTTTGACTGGGCTGTTGGGGTTCTTTTCGATAAACATTTTGTACAACTTTTTTATGTTAAGTTCACTGGGTATTTTCGTTGAGTCGTTGTCCCTCGGCAGTAATGAGCTCCAACACATTTAAGGGACTTTATAAAGGAATACACGGCTTGTCTTTGTGTTGAATATTTCTTGTATTTATGGTCACCGCCCCGTTTTTCGTTCGGAAGTATACCATTCGCAAAGAAATTTCTCATTACATACTGGACGCGATATTTTGTGATTCCAAGAGTATTTAAAAATACTTTTTGGCAAACTGGTATGATTTTTTTATTTTTTGTATACATTGTATACTTTATAGCAGTCTCTGCCTTTTCTCACATTTTTGGTCGGTCGCTTCCTGTTAGTTTTATTTACCGAACAACATTTTAATATGAGAGCGTCCTGATTTTTTTTTATCGGTGTAGCATAAAAAGCTCGGTGGAAATCGAATTGATCTTTAACGCGAAGGTTTTTGCATCCAAAACTTTTGCTATTGTGATTGCAGGTAATTTTACCAGGCAACGACTGCGACGAGTACCTAGGACAAAATTGAAAATAAATTAAAATGCTTGAACAATATCAACAATTTTATCGAATTTGCATTACAGTGCGCACATCACTAGTCTGTACTTACCTTTCAATTTTCGCCCTGTTTGCTTTCCATTTCTCTGGCTCTCTCTTGCGTTTTCTTCCTCTCCCGTGTATAGCTTCTGTTACTGGCACTTCCATTACACTTTTAGCTTTACTTTAAACAATTTTTTTGTAATGCAATTGTCCAAAAAACCACTGAATTTCAATAAAATCGACAGACGCAGACGCACGTTTTTATATGTAAGACGCCATATTGAAAAAACGTAAATAGATCGCTCTGATTGGCCAGCCGCGACTTTAGCTGTATTTGTTTCTCAGCAATAGAGATATAGCTATCTTTGATTCTAATGCAGCTTTTTGACACTGATTTTCTATAGGATTTAGCTACTTTTGATAAGAAAAGTTATTCTTAACATGTATAAAATTGGTCAGAAAATAAAATGACATTCATAGTTTAAAGCCATAATCGTTATTGTTTGCATTCAGTTAATTACCTAAATGTTCAGTTGTTATCTAGTATTCGAATTATGTTTACCTGTGAAAATATAGAAATAAAGTTAAACACACACTTACAGGTTTACTGTATGAATTATTTCCAAGTACTGCCAAATTGTATAACTTTTTGATACGTTCATATTTCGCCATAATTATAACACTACCTTAGCACATCCGACTACTTAGAGCAATAGATGAACAATAAAGGAATGTAAACAATACGCGTGACTGCAGTGTTGTTTATTATTATTTTGACAAAACGATGCAACCTTAGCTTGCAATGTTTTACCAAAATACAAACACGTGCGCGGCTCATCCGCACGCCCCGCTACCCTCTTACTTATCACGGCAAAACGCTGCAATCTAGAATGCCGCGTTTTGCCAGAACATTTATTAGAACTCTGGGTTGCAGTAAAGTGTAAAATTGAGTTTTTTTGTTACTGGAAGCCATTATTGAACTGTAAATCAAACCTGTACCAAGCTAACATCGCGTAGATTATTTAGCGATGTATTACCATAAAACGATGTAACCCGGGTTGCATTGTTTTGTCATAACAGGGTCGCAAGATTACCTTCAAGTTATTCATTCTGATCTTAGTACTTCTTTTCCGTGCAGCTTTTTTTAGATTTTCCTATTTTAGCCGCAGTTGTTCTGGTTTGCGAGGACTGGATGCAATCATTGAATTGAAGCTCGCTGTTAGTTTTACCCATGTTGCAACTTTGAGCTGGTTGTTAGTTGCATTGGTGGCTTTATTGAATATAACTGGATGAGCCTGGACTAATTCCACCAGCATCATCACTTCTTCCTTTGTTAATGGTAGGACTTTTTGTTGTTGCTAAAATAAAACCATAGGATAGGTATACATGTAAGAAAGAACCATTGACGGAGCCAAGAAAATTGTTCAATAGCATGTAAGGCGATTATCACACCGCACGCTGTGGATCTTAAGGCCGGATTTTAAGCATGTGCAAATGGCATGGAAATACTTACTGCACTCATTGTCGGTACTGAAAGTAACTATTTAAATGCGATAATATTTGTAATACTCCAAAGTCATTGCACACAAACGATGCAAATGTCAATGTCAATCAAAATTGTGTTCCTATTCACGTCATATTTTTATAAGATAATTTTTAAGATTTCATACTTTTTAAGATAGAAGTAAGAAACGATAAAATAATAAAGCCATACAGAATTTTGTAATTATGACAATGCTTGATTAAATTTATATAACTTTCTAGACATTTTATATCAAAATTTTGATGTACAAGGAGAGAGTACAGTCGAGTCCTTTACAGAGAGTCCTTTATAGAACTGCATTTTCGGAACGTTAGGGATAAGTGGTCTATGTACTGTTAACTGGAGGTAGACAATGCTTATCTGTAATATTGGGACGACATCGCATGACAGATAGCTTTTAACTGACTATCGAGGATACCTATCTATCTTTAACTATGGATTGAATATTGGGAAAGCTGTGGCCGGAGGCGTGACGGGAGGCGCGGCGGGCGACGCGATTTGCGTTGGTATGCCACAGCTCGACTAGTTGCGACCGCGGCGGCGTCAGCGGTGGACGTACTCAGTATTATTTATAATGGCCCTATCAAAAGTGGCATGATATTGTCTTGAGACTAATGCGTTTTTAGCTCAAGATATCATTAACTCTAAAATTGGAACGCACCCAGTTAAACGCACTCAAAATCGAAAATTATCCTACGCCGCGCTCTGACAAAGGCTAACAAAACACTACTATGGCTAGCTCAACAAAAACTGAAGCCAGCCTATAAATATGTCTGGTTTCAGGATGGAAAAGTTCTGCTACGAAAAGAGGATAAAGACAAGCCTATAGTCATAAGATGTGAAACAGATATCATTCGACTTTCGTCAACAACGCAGACCGGAAATAAATGTACGTATCGGTAACAGTCTTAACATAAGTTGTCCCAGTTATCCCTCCCGATCACCACGAACTTTTTGATTGTGCAGAGATTAATGAGTATAACAAGCTTTTACCGTCAATTTACCAAACTTATTTAAATATTGTACACATAAATATTAGATCCTTAATCAAAAATTTTTGTTACGTAATACAATTAATCAATTCATCTAAAATTACTATTGATGTTCTAATCCTAACAGAAGTTAACATAAACGAAAACATTCTTCCTATGTATAACATCAATGGCTATGATTTGCACAGTAAATTGCGTAAAAATAAAAAAGGTGGTGGAATAATAATTTATGTAAGAGAGGGTCACGTATTTGCACCATCGAATCACTGTACAATGCACTGTGAATGTATTATAGGTCACATAACCACACCTCAAAATTATCAAGCATACATATGTGCAATTTATAGGCCACCGAGTGAAAGTAAGCATCTATTTGTTAAGGAAATAAGCAGTATTGTTTCTTCTGTTAAATCATGCGACACTTATTTGCTAGGAGACGTAAATATTGATCTGAAAACATATGACAACATTCGAGAATATTACATGAGTAGCATGTCCGAATTTGGTCTAGTGAGCGCGATATCTGACTACACTAGAATTGAAACTCGCGGAAATAACATTACACGTAGCTGTATAGATCACATATTTGCAAGAACGCGCTCGTTGTACCTTTACTCGGCCGCACTCGGTACTGTAATGGCTGATCACCGCATGTTAGTACTATCTTGCTTGGGATCGGACCCAATGCGTATACAAGGTGCTACAAAAAAAATTGAAAAAATTGATAATGTCAAAATGAAATCACTATTGAATAACATAAGCTGGAGCGAAATAGATACTATAGAATGTCCGATA